CATTTCTACGAACACCACCACCCTTTGGCGAATGGATAAAAGAAATACGTCATAGAATTTTTCAAAATTAAATAAACCAAGGGCAAAATAATTTTCGAATATATATATATATATATATTCGTGTTTCGTTCGATTAATAATAATAATAATAATAAAAAAAAAACAAAATAGGTAAGTAAAAATTGCGTTGGAAAGTAATAATCACGATTCGTGTCATTTTATTCCACGTGAAATTTGAATCCGTTCAATTGGACGATATTCCCCGCGATAAACCTAATGTTTATTAATACGATTTATTTCTATCCAGTTTCAAAGATAATTTTTACAAATAGATTCGTCAAAGAAGAGAATCAACTCGAAACTCTTTATTAGTAACTCACAGTGGAGGTTAACGAACGCCTTCTGACACTAGTCACGCGTACGACTATCAGCTGTTTCGACTACGCCAGCTGGGACCGTTGACATGCATTTCAATTATTTCTGCTCACGATGGCATGCGCTTTATAAATAGGACTTGGTAACATTCCAGACCTTGATGAAATTATCTGGAGGATTTGATTTTGGCACCCGGAAACAACGAGATCGTTCTTTCCAGAAAAAAACAAAAAGGGAGGTTCAAGATTAAAAGATATATTTACGATTTATACGAATTTGTTGTTGTTCCATTATTCTGTTCTTTTTTAGTTCGTCGTTAATATTATACATACGTTAGAAATTAGGTCACGAATAGAAGCAACGAGTGAGTTTGAAGTATTCGTCAATCACGAGATATTCGCGTATTAATATCTACTTTTCGACGCAAATAAATATTTCCAAGAATACTAGAAAAATAATTGATGTAAATTATTATCGTGCAAAAAAATTCTATCGCGCCCGCTATATTGACTTTTCTACGAATTATTACGTGATCCTTTCTTTTTTTCTTTTCTAGTCAACAAAATTTAATTGATATTTCAGAGTAAAAGGATCTTATTTAAGAAAACAAAAACTCGTCGATCTACAATACCTTTTTTTTTTCTTTCCCGAGAAGGAAGTAATTATGTTCGAAAATTATTTCTACGAAAAGAGATATAGTAGATATACAGAGAGACAGATAGAAAGAGAGAGAGAGAGAGAAAAAAACAAGAGAGTTAAATACAGAAACAGGAAGAGAAAAAGGGAGAGTATAATAAAATGAAAGGATATACGGACGAGTGACAATTGTATCGCCAATGGCAAATAATTAACGAACGCGTTATTATCGGAAAGCTTTGCGTGACCGCGACGAATTGCATCATGATTTGGAATAGGAATATTATTATTATATTTCTGTCATAGCGATTTCAAATAATTTTTATGGTTAATACGGAAGATCTAGAAAATTATGCTCATCTTACTACTACGACGACTCTTTTTCTTTTTTTCCTTCCTTCCTTCCTTCCTTCCTTCCTTCCTTCC